GTGCAATCTCTTAGATTTAGGGTAAATACGGTTAAGAGTGAGTGGACAGAGGTAGAATTTATTGGGCACCTTTCCTTACAATCAAAGAGCCGTAAGTTTGTAGCCAGCCCTATCACTCATTAGCTGCAGGAGCCTGCTCATTTACAAGATGAAAGCACTGAGATCCACTCCAGGGCAGACATCTGACAACAGAATGAAATAGGGGTGGGAAGTCATGCACAGACTCAGGCTTCCAGCAGAGGCTCCATAAAGGTTACTTTCCTTTTCAAGGATCCATGCCCCATTCCTGTGTTTTCTGCTTATTCCTCTTAAAAGGTCTTCATCCTGTTGAACTCCTACACATCCCTCAAAACCCACAATCCTTCAAATCACCATTTCGTTGGCAAAGGCTTTCAGGTCCATCCAGCTCTTGACCTGCCACTCCTACAACACTGATGGGCAAGTAGCAAGGGCACCTACCCTGCTAATGAATGAGAAGCAGCATTCAAGCGGAAACTCAAAGGAGCCAGAGAGCAGTGGAAAGAACATTCCAGGCAGAAAGAACTATGTGTGCAAAGGCCAAAGAAATGGTAGTGGATTCAAGAGCTCTAATCTTATGTAGGAGCCTCCTCTGACTATCCTAGCTAAGAAAACACCTGCCACTCACTAACCATACCCTGCATGGATTTTCTTCACCAGCATACATTCCTTTGTTCATTGTCTGTGTTTCCAACTGCAATTAAATCCATTAGGGCAAGTCCTTGTCTTCTTCCTTCACCTCTGTGTCCTTCTCATGGCTCATTATTACTGATGACTGAACAACTGTTAGACTCTGAGCTCCAAGAAGACAAGCACCTTGCCATCTGGTTCACTACTCAATCCCCAGCACCCAGCATGGGACCAGATACACAATAAGAACTTAGCAAATATCTATGGTTGAATAAGTACTGCCCACAGGAAATACGCAACTGCTAGACAGAAAAGTACAGGGATGAATGTGTGAATGTAAGCATGCAGGGAAAGATACAGAAAAAGAAAGAGAGAGAGAGATACACACAAGTGGGTAAATGAACAAATGGATGAATGAATTAATGTACGAATGCAGGGTTCTCACGATCATGTAATGAAAGCCCAGAGGCTCATCTGCTGAGCTGCCCTGCAAACGCAGAGCTATCTCTAGCTCATCTGAGCCTGGCCATTCAAAGCTTCTTTTCTTATCCACGGCAGCCGCCTTTCCATTGTCATCGGGGGTAACAGGCCACTTCCCCTCTGCCCCTCCACTCGGAGCCCTGAGAGCTCACCAAATTCCCAGCCCTCTTACAGGAGGTCAGCTGACCCTGGTGCCAGGACCTCCTCATTGTAAGGCACTTTTACAGGCGCCTTCTATGGGAATTGACAGCACGCCTCCCTCCCAGAGAGTGGGATGCAACTCTGGCCCGTTTTTATTAATTGCAAATTAATGCTGTGCCGGGTGTCTATTTTAGTAGACATGCTTCTCCCGAGCACGGAATGCACCCCAAAGAAGCGCATTGCTCTCATTCTTTCTGCTGACCGACTGTGTGAATATTTTTAGAAGCCACACCCTCCTGCCGTGGCCAGCTAAATCATTTCCAATGCCAGATGTGCTTGTTGCAAATCAACATCAGGCAGCGAAGAGGGGAGAGGAGCCGGCTATGTGGTCCCCACCACAACTGCAGCAACCTGTGGCAAGGTTAAAGCTGACAGGTCTCCTGGGCCAAAGGGCTCCACCCTTAGATACAAAGGGTGGACCCACCTTTGGGAGGCCCCCCGCCGGGGCGCCGAGGGGGGTCCTCACTGCTCGCCTCCTGTTGCTCGGTAACAGGCCGTCAGTGTCACTGACACAGAGGCCAGCTTGTGGCCATGTGTCTGCCTGCCTTTGTCACAAGTGCTCTTTCTTTCATTTTTCTTTCAGCAAAATGCTGAGTCAGGAAGCGCTGAGCCCAGGCAGACGAAGATAAATCCACACCAGCTGAAACACATTCTAAAAAACCTTGGAAGTGGGTGTGAGAGGATGAAAAGAGACTTTGCCTGGAAGTCAAACAAGTGAGTTCTGATCCCAGCTGCCTTCCCTTTGCTCACAAATCAAACGGCCTCAGGGCACCCCGTGCGTGATAAGCAGCCCAGGGAAGCAAAGATACAATAACTCGTCTACAGGAGTCCCTGCGTGATCCCAGGCGCG